TTTTTCCCTTTTGTTATGGGCATTTCAGCTGTGGCACAGAAGTAGGAAGAATGATGTACTCCTTACCCAGCGCTAACAGTTGTCAGCATTTGAGGGGTATCTAGTGATAAATTACTGTGGGGCTTAATTCCTGAATTGTGGTTGAGCTTGTGAAGTGCCCAGGCCTCTGCACCCAGGTCACCCTCCTGGCATGGTGTGCACACAGATGCACAAGCCCCTGACATCAGCTTGTGTTTTGTGTGTCTGTTTCAGGTGGAGGTGGAGGCAGTGTCCCTGGAATCGAGAGGATGGGCCCCGGCATTGACCGCATTGGGGGTGCCGGCATGGAGCGCATGGGCGCAGGCCTGGGCCATGGCATGGATCGTGTGGGCTCCGAGATCGAGCGCATGGGCCTGGTCATGGACCGCATGGGCTCAGTCGAGCGCATGGGCTCCGGCATTGAGCGCATGGGCCCTCTGGGCCTCGACCACATGGCCTCCAGCATCGAGCGCATGGGCCAGACCATGGAGCGCATCGGCTCTGGCGTGGAGCGCATGGGTGCCGGCATGGGCTTTGGCCTCGAGCGCATGGCCGCACCCATTGACCGTGTGGGCCAGACCATTGAGCGCATGGGCTCCGGCGTGGAGCGGATGGGCCCTGCCATCGAACGCATGGGCCTGAGCATGGAGCGCATGGTGCCCGCAGGCATGGGGGCTGGCCTGGAGCGCATGGGCCCTGTGATGGATCGCATGGCCACCGGCCTGGAGCGCATGGGCGCCAACAACCTGGAGCGCATGGGCCTGGAGCGTATGGGCGCCAACAGTCTCGAGCGCATGGGCCTAGAGCGCATGGGCGCCAACAGCCTGGAGCGCATGGGTCCTGCCATGGGCCCAGCCCTGGGCGCTGGCATTGAGCGCATGGGCCTGGCCATGGGTGGCGGCGGCGGTGCCAGCTTTGACCGTGCGATTGAGATGGAGCGTGGCAACTTTGGAGGAAGCTTCGCAGGCTCCTTTGGTGGAGCTGGAGGCCACGCTCCTGGGGTGGCCAGGAAGGCCTGCCAGATATTTGTGAGGAATGTAAGTGGCTCTTCAGGAACTTCTCGGGGGTTTTATGCAGAAAGGGAGGAGGGACGCAGGAGGTCAGTGGGACTGAATGGTGGCAGGTTGAAGTCAGAGGCGATGTCCTCAGAAGGGGAGCTGAGTAGCGTGCAAGGCCACCTTGCCACTGTCCCCAGAGTTTGGAGCTGGTAGGATGCAGGATGTGAGAGCTTAAGACACTCATGCGACAACAATTGTGGGTCTGTGAGAGCTTGGGCTTGTCTCACTACTAGATGGAACTGGCAGTGAGCCGAAGAACTCTAGTTTCATGATCCTTTAGCTTGAAGAGCCACTAAGCCTTGGCTTGACAACTCAGAGGAAAAAATGGCTGTGTCTGCATTATCTTTACAAAATTGATCACCTTTAGCTACCACTGGGTGGTTCTGTGGGCCGCTCACCACAGGCATCTGTGTCCTGTGCGCTTTGCATGGACAGATAAAGCCACAAGGGAGCGACTTGGTGTGCTAGTTTAGAACCTTCCCCAGACAGACCTGGTTTGTTCTCTGCTCATGGGCTCAGTGTGTGGAACCTCCCCCAGACAGACCCGGGTTGTTCTCTGCTTGGGGGGGGTTCAGTGTGAAGGTCAGCCCGTCTCTGATGGGAGATGCCTGTGCCGGTCGGGCATTAGTGTTTGGGGGATCACTCATCAGTCTCTCCTTGTTTCCCTTAGCTCCCATTTGATTTTACATGGAAGATGCTCAAGGACAAATTCAACGAATGTGGTAAGTGTTTGCGAAAGGCTCTTTGGGTGCTTCCACGTGTCGTGGCTTCAGAAATCATAGCTTGTTGGTGATGCATTTGAGTGGTGTGGCAACGCTTCCATCCCAGTCTGCACAGCCGCCTTCCATGATTGGAGGCCTGGTGGGATTTGCCATTTTTCTGCCAATGCACATATTCAAACAGGTTATGGAGTTTCCTGTTATATGTCAGACACTTTTCACCTGTGTTCTCATTTCCTCCTTCTCTCTCTTTTTGTCTCCTTTTATGGTTTTTGAAAGGAGGTCACATTGTCCCCATTTTACGGATGAGTCAGGCAAAGTCAGGTTCCCAAGGTCACATGGCTTCTCAGTGACACTGCTAAATATAATAAACACGTCCGAGACAAGCTCACTTTCCACCACAGCACCATTGGTTCATCCCTCAAAGAGCACTTGCCCAGCTGGTCCCACGGGTGAGGTCGCAGGCTCTGGGCACACAGCAGCTGGTGTGTGGATGAGGCTAAGGGTCTCGGATTGTGGTTTCCTGGCACACCGGGCAACCATTCTGGAAGGCTCACTATTTGGCCGAAAGGAAGTTGAGCTGTCTCTGGGTGAGCGGTGCCCTTCTTTGAACCATGTCGAGTGGGAGCCGCCACCCTGAGCCAGAGGTCGGCCTGGGAGGCTTACTGGATCAAGGCTTCCTCCGTGTCCTCTCATTTCCCTTTTCCGTGGTGGCTCAGATTTCACCACTCTTGCTGCTTCTCCTGGGGTCAGCTGTTGAGCCATAGCCTGCCTCCTGCCCTGTTCTTGCCCTCTTTCCCCACTCCTTAGTTTCCACATTGTAGCTAGACGTTCTGAAAAGTGCGGTGGATCCCACCACTGCCCCTGCCGCACACGCCTGGAGGTGTCCCTCCGCTGGCAGGAGAAGGCCCAGACTCACAAGCCCTTTATGACTTGGGAAGAGGTCCCTTCCTCTTTCATTTCCCCCGTCCCCAAGCTTGCATTGCTGTTCCCCACAGGTGCTCTGTGGCGAGCTGTTACCAGAGGCTTCCTTCTGGTGAACTTCTACTTAAGCTAATTCAAAACTTTCCCATGGGAAGCCTCCACCATGTTGACCCTCTCTCCGGCCTAGGTAATGGCTGTACAACTGGGGGCCCCTAGCACTGGCCTCACTGGCCACACTGTCGTGTCCTTGGCACTCCCGGGAGTGGAGCCCTGTGTTTCTGCGGCTCTTCTCCTGTACACTTGTTTCCGTGGTGCTTGACACATACCTGGATGCTTAACCCGTGCTGGAATGAGTACGTGCAACCCGCTTACTGGTTCTCACACGGCCTGTGTGTGGACAGTACTGAAGTGTCCACTGTATGGGCGGCGGCCTTGTACACGTGATGGTGCAGGTATTAAAAATGAAGCCTCTGTGAAATTTGCCTATGAAGTTGGCTTCACAGGCCCCCGTGTAAACTCTCTCGAGTGTGGAGGCAGGCATCTGAAGCTGCCAGAAGCGCATATCACGGGCCGGTCAGTCTGCTGTCATGCTGGCAGGAGAATGGCACCGTGGCTGAGGGCCGTGCTAGCTGGATTCCCGCTGCCGTGTTCTGAGCGTTCATGCGCCAGGTGCCAGGGCCACGCTCCCTTTGGCTCCGTCCGCCGAAATCCGGCAGGTGGCCTGGCCTGAGTGGCGCCCAGGCAGAGGCTGAGCTCTGGGTTTGCCTGATGAGTGTGGTCTCTTCTTCCCTCCCTGTGCCAGGCCATGTGCTGTATGCTGACATCAAGATGGAGAACGGGAAGTCCAAGGGCTGCGGTGTGGTGAAGTTTGAGTCGCCGGAGGTGGCTGAGAGAGCCTGCCGGATGATGAATGGGATGAAGCTGAGTGGCCGAGAGATCGATGTTCGAATCGATAGAAACGCTTAAGCAGTTGCCTTTTTTAAACATCGATACCAGACCTCTGAATTTGTATTTTTTCTTGTTAACCATTTTAATTTGTTGGCTGGATGTATAAAGATGTTTAAAAAATTCAGTTGCTTTTTGGGGTAATTTGAATTACTTTTTTAATGACTGGGGTTCCATTTGACTGTTTGCATTGAGATTGCAATGTGCGCAATTTTTTTTGTAGTTGTGGCATCTTGTTGACATCAAATATGACTTTGATAATAAATACCAGTTCCTGAAAGCTGCTTGCTTTTGCGTGTGTGTTGTGGGGCAACCGCCCGAGATTTGGGGAGCTAGAGCCACTCCGTCTCCTTTCTATCCTTGGAGCTGTGCACGTGGTGGTGGGAGGCCGTTGAATCCTGAGTGGCCTTGAATCCGCCGCTGTGGGTGATGGAGCGCTTGGCTGTGAGGGCTGTTGCCTCTCCCTCCAGTGCGGTTGGCCTGTGGGCACAGGCGCTGTGCCAGGCTTGTTTCCAGTGTGGCTTTTGTCTTTGTCTGCTCCGGCTGCTATAGCGAACACTGATTTCTCGCAGCTCAGGAGGCTGGGAAGTCCGAGATATGCCGCCTGCAGATTCAGTGTCTGGTGTCAGATCAGGTGAGGGCCTGATCGATCGTGGTACATAGATGGCACCTTCCAGCTGTAACCTCACGTGGCAGAAGGGGCATGAGGCCTTCTTAGCCTCTGTGATAAGGGCACAGATCCCATTCACAAGGGCAGAACCTCCCAGTACCCTCACACTGAGCATTAGGTTTTCAGCGTAGGAATTGGTTGGGGGGTGGTGGTGGCGCACAAACATTCAGTCCTGTTTCTTTCCTAAAATAGATGGAGCGGCGTGCAAGTTTCTGAGCGTGTTTAGTTGTGACAGAGATTCAGGCTGAACTTGATACCTGGGCTGTCAGAGCTGGGTCACACTCCCCCTCCCCTCCCAAGACGTGACCTCCTACACGGCTCCACTTGGGCCAGACAGCTGTTTGCAGCCTGTGAGGAGCTGCAGCTGCTGCTTGTGCTGTGGCTGTGGGGGGTGGCAGAGTGTGGGGCCTGTCCTGCCCATCTCCCACTCCACTCTGACTGGCAGCTGGCAAGGGGTCTCATCTCAGAATCCCACCTCAAGGTCTAGCAAGGTGCCGGCTCCCTGGCCACCTTCCTCCTGGCCCACTTTCTCCTTCGTGGCCTTTATCTCTGAGGAGTGAGACCTTGGAGGAGGGGGTCGACCCCACACCCCGCTGAGTGTTTGATCGTGGCTCCACTGTGTGCCAACCAGGAGGGAAAGAAAACACAAGAAGCAGGGATCGCTTTAAAGAGGGGCTTTATGTGGTCCATGTACGTGGTCAGACGGGAGCCTGGGCAGTTCTGTGACCGCCAGGCTGGGATCCAGGGCTCCTGGGTTTAGCAGGTGGCTGGGCTGGTGGGTTGTCCTGGGTCCCACACCTGCGGGCCTTATCGTTCCCGGGGGAGTGGTTGGCTCTCCAGAGGGTCTGCCGAGGAAGGGTGACTGCCAGTGACCCCTCCCCCCATGAGCAGATAGCAAACAGCCCCTGGGAGACTGGGGTGGGGGATACCCCCTCCCGAAGCACTGTGGTCCCTTCCAGCCCCCCAGAGCATCCACGTACCCCAGAAGGCCACGTCGTCATACACCTCCGTTTCCCTGGTGGAGAGCACAGTGGGTCAGCGAGGGCCCCAGGCCCATTCGCCCCACCCCACCCCCACCCATTCTCCACGAATGCCAGCCGCACTCACAGGGGCAGGAGAGCTGTTCTGGGCACGTAGCCATCTGCGGAGAGACGAGGGACGGGTGAGTGCTCGGCCCTGAGGTGGCTCTCTCCCCAGGGCTGCCCGCCTCCCCTGGCTGCCGGCCGCTCACTCACACTTGCCCTTGGTGTCCCTGCACAGCATCTCGTCGTTGTTGGTGAACTCGATCACCTCCAGGATCTCCCCACGCCGGATGCCCAGGTGCTTGCCGCCCCCACGACGGGTCTTGGCGTTGGGGTCGATCATCATCCTTGTCTGAATCACGATCTCCCCCTCGAACTGGAGGGAGAAGGGAGAGTTTTCAGCTGTGCTGCCACCTGGGAACCCCCCGCTTCCCTCTGAGCATGGAATTCGGGGGCCTTGGTCAACTGGGGCTGACTGCTTAGCTTGGCGTCCACACCTTGAACTTCTTCCGGAACTCCCGCTCAGCCTTCTCCGCCTTCCGGATTTGCTTCAGGACCTTTGGGTCCGTGGCTGGCAACTGCTGTGGCTGGGGGGCCTTCTCCTTCCTGGCTCCCAAAGGAATGGGTGCCCGTGAGCAAGGTGTGCTCCTCATGGGCCCCTTCCACTGTCCTCCCGCAGCTCAGCCCCCCGTCCCACGCCCTTTGCCCCATGGTACCTGGGCTCTGGCTCTGGCCTCCCGGGGGGTTGCTGGGTAGATGGCACTTCATCTGGGGCAGTCAGAACGCCGAGTTAGGGCAGGGACTGTTGGCTCGCCCTCTTGGCCTGGTGACTTGATCTCGAGTGAGCTTTCCCTGGACATCGCTTCTCAGGCCATCGGTCCCCCCGACCCTGCCCTGCCTGTCCTCTCCCCATCCCTCTCCTTTCTCTTGGTGTGTGAGCTCTAGGAGGTGGCCTTTCATTTTCTTCACTCCTCCCACACGCTAGGTATGGCAGAGCTGTTCACTTATTTCACCCCACACACAAGCTTATTGGTGACAGGTGATACTGTCATTCCCAACCGGCTGATGAGGAGATGCTCAGAGAGGTAAACAACCTGTCCAAGGTCACCCAGCTGTTCAGTGGTAGAGGCAGGATTGACTTCTAGGTTTTTGAGGCCATTTCATGTCTGCCTCCTAGAGCAGGTTGGGTTCTGGGAATTGTCAGGAGATTTGGGTCAAAAATAAGGCAAAGGGAAGCATTTCCTGGAGGCAAACGAAATCTACCTCTGAGAAGGGGCTGACGGGGTGGGGGTCTCGGACCGGCCTGGCTGATGATGAGACTGGTCTGCGAGGGTCTCCCAGATGAGGGCTGACTTCCTGGCAAACGACCAGCTTTCCAGGTGTGAGCCCTGCTGGCCAAGGGTTGGGCTTACAGCGAGAGCCTCAGGACCACCAGGTCAGTGAAGGATCCAGAACATGCGGCCCTCAGCTTTTTGCCGTTCCCTGAATGACTCGAAGCGTCGCCCTGCACATTTCAGGCTATCTGTCCCTCCCATCAAGCTGCCCACTGAGTGGTGTTTGTGGGTGCCCTCCCACCCCTGCAGACAGTGAGCTTGCCTCCACCGTCAGCCTGATGCTCAGATGGGTGCCATTCCACGGCCCCACCCAGAACACTCCCTCCAGCTGCTCCTGCCTCTCCCAGAGGCTGCCTAGGCTAACTCCCAGCTGGGAGTGATCTTGACTTGGGAACCCCAGGGCCCCTACAAACCCACCACAGCATAGAGCACAGACCCTGTGGCCTGAGCTTCCTGGCACTGTGACCCTGAGCAGGCCACCCTCAGATCCTGGGAAAGAGCTGGGTCTGGCCATCTCCAGAGGAGCCCCCAGCTGCCACTGCTCCCAGTGAGGTGAGAGTGGGTGGGGGGACCCTCAAGGCCTTCCAGTGGGTGTCAGACTGAAAAAGGGCAGAGCAGCCTTTGGGACAAGCGGTACTACCAGTGAGCGCCACACAGGGTCTCAAGGAGGGAGAGATCC